GGCGTTGGGGTTCTTCTCGATGGCGTAGACCCTGACCTTGGTCCCCATTGATCACTATTGATCACTATTGATCTGTATTGATCCCTATTGATCTGTATTGATCAGTATTGATCCCTATTGATCAGTATTGATCCCCAGACTCACGTGACAACAGCGTTGGGGTTCTTCTCGATGGCGTAGACCCTGACCTTGGTCCCCATTGATCACTATTGATCACTATTGATCTGTATTGATCCCCATTGATCCCCATTGATCTGTATTGATCCCTAGGGCTGTGTATTGATCACTATTGATCCCCAGTGCCCCCCAGACTCACGTGACGACAGCGTTGGGGTTCTTCTCGATGGCGTAGACCCTGACCTTGGTCCCCATTGATCACTATTGATCACTATTGATCCCCATTGATCTGTATTGATCTGTATTGATCCCTATTGATCATTATTGATCAGTATTGATCCCCAGACTCACGTGACAACAGCGTTGGGGTTCTTCTCGATGGCCCTGACCCTGACCTTGGTCCCCATTGATCACTATTGATCTGTATTGATCCCTATTGATCCCTAGGGCTGTGTATTGATCAGTATTGATCCCCAGGGCTGTGTATTGATCAGTATTGATCCCCAGACTCACGTGACAACAGCGTTGGGGTTCTTCTCGATGGCCCTGACCCTGACCTTGGTCCCCATTGATCATTATTGATCACTATTGATCCCTAGGGCTCTGTATTGATCACTATTGATCCCTATGGTTCTGTATTGATTCCTATAGGCTCCTATTGATCCCTATAGGTCCCCATTGATCCCTATGGGTTCTATTGATCTCTATTGATCCCTATGGCTCTGTATTGATCACTATTGATCCCTATGGTTCTGTATTGATCTCTATGGGTCCCTATGGATCCCTATTGCTCTCTATGGCTCCTTATTGATCCCTATGGCTCTGTATTGATCTCTATTGATTCCTATGGCTCAGTATTGATCCCTATTGATCACTATTGATCCCTATTGATCCCCATTGATCAGTATTGATCCCCATTGATCAGTATTGATCCCCAGACTCACGTGATGACGGCGTTGGGGTTCTTCTCGATGGCCCTGACCCTGACCTTGGTCCCCATTGATCACTATTGATCACTATTGATCACTATTGATCTGTATTGATCCCTATTGATCCCCAGGGCTGTGTATTGATCAGTATTGATCTCTAGGGCTGTGTATTGACCCCAGACTCACGTGACGACGGCGTTGGGGTTCTTCTCGATGGCCCTGACCCTGACCTTGGTCCCCATTGATCACTATTGATCACTATTGATCCCCATTGATCTGTATTGATCCCAATTGATCAGAATTGATCCCATTTGGGTCTGGGGTCCCTCATGACTCACGTGACGACGGCGTTGGGGTTCTTCTCGATGGCGTAGACCCTGACCTTGGTCCCCGCCTGCCGCGCCGCCCGCAGCGTGGCCGCCACCAAGGGGCCCCTGCCCGCCCCCAGCACCATCACCACCCTGCCAGGGGGGGAGAAACGGGGGTCAGACCCCTCCCCAAACCGAGGGGAGACCCCCCTGGATTTGGGGGGCACCCCTGGTTTGGGGGGGACCCCGAAAAACCCCCAATTTGGGGGGAAAAAAAGGGTATTTTCTAGGGTATGGGGGATTTAAAGGAGGTTAAAGGGGGATTTTTGGGGGGTTTTGGGGGTTAAAAAAGGGGCTCAGACCCCTCCCCAAATCGAGGGGAGACCCCCAGAAATCCTACAGGGAGAGGGGACCCCCGAAAACCCCAAACTGGGGGAGAAAATGGGGAAAAAACCACATTTTTTAGGGTTTAAAGGGGGGTTTGGGGGGTTAAAGGGGATTTTTGGGGAAAAAAAGGGGGATTTTTGGGGGTTAAAAGGGGGGTCAGACCCTCCCAAATCGAGGGAGACCCCCTGGATTTGGGGGCACCCCTGGTTTGGGGGACCCAAAAACCCCAATTTGGGGAAAACCACATTTTTAGGGTTTAAAGGGGGTTTGGGGGTTAAAGGGAGATTTTTGGGGAAAAAGGGGATTTTTTGGGGAAAAAAGGGGGTCAGACCCCTCCCCAAATCCAGGGGAGACCCCCAGAAATCCTGCAGGGAGAGGGGACCCCCAAAAACCCCAAACTGGGGGGAGAAAAATGGGGAAAAAACCACATTTTTTAGGGTTTAAAGGGGGGCTTTAGGGGGTTAAAGGGGGATTTTTGGGGGTTAAAAGGGGGGTCAGACCCCTCCCCAAATTGAGGGGAGACCCCCCTGGATTTGGGGGGCACCCCTGGTTTGGGGGGGACCCCAAAAACCCCAATTTGGGGGGGAAAAAACCACATTTTTTAGGGTTTAAAGAGGGTTTTGGGGAGTTAAAGGGAGATTTTGGGGTAAAAAAGGGGATTTTTGGGGGTTAGAAAGGGGCTCAGACCCCTCCCCAAATCCAGGGGAGACCCCCAGAAATCCTGCAGGGAGAGGGGACCCCCAAAAACCCCAAACTGGGGGGGAAAATGGGGAAAAAAACCACATTTTTTTAGGGTTTAAAGGGGGATTTTGGGGTAAAAAAGGGGATTTTGGGGGTTAAAGGGGGTCAGACCCCTCCCCAAATTGAGGGGAGACCCCCCTGGATTTGGGGGGCACCCTGGTTTGGGGGGGACCCCAAAAACCCCAGATGAGAGGAGAAAAAGGGGGAAAAAAAGGGGTTTAAAGAGAAAAAAAAGGGGGTTTGGGGAGGTTAAAGGGGGATTTTGGGGTAAAAAGGGGATTTTGGGGGGTTAAAAGGGGGTCAGACCCCTCCCCAAATCGAGGGGAGACCCCCAGAAATCCTGCAGGGAGAGGAGACCCCCAAAACCCCAGGTGGGGGAGAAAAAGGGGAAAAAAAGGGGGTTTTAAGAGAAAAAAAGGGGTTTTGGGGGGTTAAAGGGGGATTTTGGGGTGTTATGGGGTGATTTTGGGGAATTTTGGGGTGTTTTGAGCCAATTTTGGGGAGGTTTTGGGCATTTTGGGGTATTGTGAGGTGGTTTTGGCTTGTTTTGGGGTGATTCTGAGGTGATTTTGGGGTGAATTGGGGTGATTTGGGGTGCTTTTGGGGTATTTTGGGGTGATTTTGGGGGTTTTGTGGTGATTTTGGGGTGATTTGAGGTGATTTTGAGGTGATTTTGGGGTGTTTCGAGGTGATTTTTGGGTATTCTGAGGTGATTTTGGGGTGATTTTGGTTTATTTTGGGGTGATTTTGGGGTGATTTGGGGTGATTTGGGGGTATTTTGGGGTGATTTTGGGGTGATTTGAAGTGATTTTGGGGTATTCTAAGGTGATTTTGGGGTGATTTTTGGGTATTCAGAGGTGATTTGAGGTGATTTTGGGGTGATTTGAGGTGATTTTGGGGTGATTTGGGGGTGTTTTGGGGCGATTTTGGGGTTATTTTGAGGCAATTTGGGGGCATCTGGGGGCGATTTCGGGGTACTTTTGGATGATTTCGGGGTGTTTTGGGGTGATTTTGGGGCATTTTGGGGTTTTTCAGGGTGTTATGAGGTGATTTTTGAGTATTTTGGGGTGATTTGAGGCGAATTTGGGGTGTTTTGAAGCGATTTTGGGGTGTTTCAGGTCAATTTTGGGGTGTTTTGGGGTATTCTGAGGTGATTTGAGGTGATTTTTGGGTATTCTGGGGTGTTTTGGGGTGATTTTGGGGTGATTTGAGGCGATTTTGGGGTGATTGGAGGTGATTTTGGAGTGTTTCAGGTCAATTTTGGGGTTTTTCAGGGTGTTTTGGGGTGTTTTGGGGTGATTTTGGGGTGATTTTGGGGCGTTTTTGGGGTACTCACTGCACACTGGAGTCCTTCTCCTCCTCGGGCACGCGGTCCAGGAGGCACTTGTAGATGGCCTGGGGGCGGGGTTATGCAAATCAGGGGCGTGGCCACACAAATAAACCACTGGGTGGGCGTGGCCATGCAAATGAGGGACCTCGTTATGCAAATGAGGGGAAATTGCAAAAACAAAGGGTGTGGTCACAGAATTCGGGGCTCATTTATGCAAATTAGGGATAATTAAGGCAAATTAGGTCTAAATTTATGCAAAATAGGTCAAATCTATGAAAAATTAAGATTGATTTATGCAAATTAGGAGCAATTCATGCAAATTAGGATGGTGGGTGGAGTCATGCAAATCAACACCCAAATAATTAACCTGCCCCACCCAACTCTTAATTAATGGATGAGAGGGTGTGGTTATGCAAATGAGGTATCTTGTATGTAAATTGGGGCCACGCCCACCCCAGCTTGTTAATGTTGATTAAAATAGCTTAATTAATGAATTGATACAATGAACTAATCAGCTAATTAAGGGGGGTTGCCCTAATTAAAGCCAGATTGGTTCGTCATTTAAATATTGCCCTGGTATGCAAATTAGCAGTGAAATTATGCAAATGAGGGGATATGCAAATCAGAGCCCAGCTCATTAAGAGGCAAATATTTCTTACAGTTCATTAAATTATTTTCTTACAATTAGTTAAATTGATCCCTTAAAAAACAATTAACATTAAAAAAAGAATAAATTTACATTAATTTAGCTAAATGTAAAAATTAAGAGAAATTAAAAAGGGCAATTAAAAGTCATTCAAATTACTCTAATTAGAGGGACAGCAGATATGTAAATAAGGCCCAGATATGCAAATGAGCCCAGAAATTATGCAAATGAGGAGGTTTTTAGTAGAAAAATTAGCCTATTGAGGATCATTGTTATGCAAATGAGATGTTAATGAAGGGGGCGTGGCCAGCACAGGGTGTGGTCCCCCAGTAACCACCCCCCAGTACAAACCAGTAAGACCCTCCCCAAGCCACGCCCCCTTTTAAAACCCCACCCCTCCATCAAACCACGCCCCCTTTGAGGAGGCCACGCCCCTTTTGAGGAGGCCACGCCCCCTTTCGTAAGCCCCGCCCACCTGCTGGTACTGGCAGTACTTGATGGGGTCCTTCTCGAACACCTCGTACGTCTGCGACTCCAAATTATCCATCAGGGGCTTAATTAGAAAGGGGCGGGGCCAGTTAGGGACACGCCCACCATCAGGACACGCCCACAAGCCAAGACCACACCCCCAAAGTGAAACCACGCCCACTTTTACCCCATTTTTGGGGGATTTTGGGGGTTTTTTAATTGGCTTGGGTTGGTTAGGAGGGAGTTAAGGAGGCCACGCCCCCTCTTGCAGAGGCCACGCCCCCTTTCCCATTAAGCCACGCCCCTTTTCTTCCGGTCCTGCCTAAACCCATCTGGCTCCGCCCCCTTTAGGGCCACACCCACTCAAGCCACACCCCCAAAAACGAAGCCCTGCCCCCTTAAGGACCACACCCACTCAAGCCACGCCCCCCAAACAAAGCCCTGCCCCCTTTAGGGCCACACCCACTCAAGCCACGCCCCCCAAAATGAAGTCCTGCCCCCTTTAGGGCCTCACCCCCTCAAGCCACGCCCCCCCAATGAAGCCCTGCCCCCTTTAGGACCACACCCCTTCAAGCCACGCCCCCAACTAAGCCCTGCCCCCTTTAGGACCCCACCCACTCAAGCCACGCCCCCTCCCATCAAGCCACGCCCCTCCCCAACCCTCAAACCCCTCCCATTCTTCAGCATTCCTCTTGCTTTAAGCCCCTCCCACTTCCCCTTTAGCCCCTCCCACCTCTCTCTTTAAGCTCCTCCCACCCAGATTAAGCCCCTCCCACTCCCCCTAGGCCCCTCCCATCACCCCATAAGCCCCTCCCTTTACCCTCAAGCCCCTCCCACCCCTCTTAAACTCCTCCCCTCTCCCCTTAGGCCCCTCCCACCACCCCATAAACCCCTCCCTTTACCCCTAAGCCCCTCCCACCCCTAAGCCCCTCCCACCTGGAGGGGGCTCTGCAGGTCCCTCCCTCCCTTCGACCCCACCCCTTTGCTTTTAACCCTCCCCCATTCACTGAAGCCCCTCCCCACATCCTTAGGCCCCTCCCCTTTTCCCTTAAGCCCCTCCCACCACCCCCTTGGCCACGCCCCCACCCTGTTAGGCCCCTCCCACCTGGAGGGGGCTCTGCAGGTCCCTCCCTCCCTTTGACCCCATCCCTTTGCTTTAACCCCTCCCCATTCACTGAAGCCCCTCCCCCACATCCTTAAGCCCCTCCCACCACCCCCTAGGCCCCTCCCTTTCCCCCTAAGCCCCTCCCACCTGGAGGGGCTCTGCAGGTCCCTCCCTCCCTTCCATCCCACCCCTTTGCTTTAACCCCTCCCCACTCATTGAGGCCCCTCCCTTGCATCTTGAGGTTCCTCCCCTCATCCCTAGGCCCCTCCCACCACGCTGTAGGCCACGCCCACCGTCCATTAAGCCCCTCCCACCTGGAGGGGCTCTGCAGGTCCCTCCTCTCCTCAAACCCCTCCCCTTGCTTTAACCCCTCCCCTATCTCACTGAGGCCCCTCCCACCACCCCTAGGCCCCTCCCCTTGCCCCTAAGCTCCCTCCCACCTGGAGGGGGCTCTGCAGGTCCCTCCCTCCCTTCCATCCCTCCCTTTGCTTTGAACCCCTCCCCACTCATTGAGGCCCCTCCCCTTGCTCTGAAGCCCCTCCCCTCATCCTTAGGCCCCTCCCACCACGCTCGTAGGCCCCTCCCACTCGTCCACCTTAAGCCCCTCCCCACCTGGAGGAGGGCTCTGCAGTCCCTCCCTCCCTCAGAGCCTCCCCTTTGCTTTAACCCCTCCCCCATTCACTGAGGCCCCTCCCACCACCCTAGGCCCCTCCACACCCCTAGGCCCCTCCCACCTGGAGGGCTCCTGCAAGTCCCTCCCTCCGGCTTCCACCCCTCCCTTTGCCTTGACCCCTCCCCATTCACTTGAGACCCCTCCCCTCACTCTGAGACCCCTCCCCCACATCCTTAGGCCCCTCCCCTTTACCCCTAAGCCCCTCCCCTTTCCCCCTAAGCCCCTCCCACCTGGAGGGGGCTCTGCAGGTCCCTCTCTCCCTTCGACCTCACCCTTTGCTTTAACCCCTCCCACCACCCCATAGGCCCCTCCCCCACCCTGTAGACCACGCCCACCATCCCTTAAGCCCTCCCCACCCCATTAAGCCCCTCCCAGCTGGAGGGGGCTCTGCAGGTCCCTCCCTCCCTTAAACCCCTCCCACTCCCTTAAACCCCTCCCCTTTTTCCTTAGGCCCCTCCCCACATCCTTAGGCCCCTCCCCTTCCCCCCTAAGCCCCTCCCACCCCATTAAGCCCCTCCCACCTGGAGGAGGCTCTGCAGGTCCCTCCCTCCCTTTGACCCCTCCCCTTTGCTTTAACCCCTCCCCCACTCATCGAGGTCCCTCCCCTCATCCTTAAGCCCCTCCCACCACCCCATAGGCCCCTCCCACCATCCTTAAGCCCCTCCCTTTCCCCTAAGCTCCTCCCACCTGGAGGGGCTCTGCAGGTCCCTCCCTCCTTCGACCCTCCCTTTGCTTTAACCCCTCCCCACTCATCAGAGGCCCCTCCCCTCATCCTTAAGCCCTCCCACCACCCTGTAGACCACGCCCCCAGGCCCCTAAGCCCCTCCCACCTTCAGGGGGCTCTGCAGGTCCCTCCCTCCCTTTAACCCCTCCCCTTTGCTTTAACCCCTCCCCCATTCACTGAAGCCCCTCCCCCACATCCTTAGGCCCCTCCCCTCTTCTCTTAGGCCACGCCCCCAGGCCCCTAAGCCCCTCCCACCTGGAGGGGCTCTGCAGGTAGTCCTCGTAGCCGCGGGCGTAGAGCTCGTAGGCCGAGGGCGGGGGCCGGTGCTGCCCCAGGTGCTCCAGGTACTGCAGGTACGCCCCCAGGGGGCGGCCCCCGTGACGGGGCGCCCCCTGCAGGATGATCTGCACGTCCAGCTGGGGGAAACCAGTATAAACCAGTAAAAACCAGTATAGACCAGTATAGACCAGTACGGACCAGTATGGGGTAACCAGTATGGACCAGTGCAGGGTACTGCAGGTACGCCCCCAGGGGCCGGCCCCCGTGACGGGGCGCCCCCTGCAGGATGATCTGCACGTCCAGCTGCACAAAAAACCAGTAAAAACCAGTAAAAACCAGTATAGACCAGTATAAACCAGTACGGACCAGTATGGACCAGTATGGACCAGTGCAGGGTACTGCAGGTACGCCCCCAGGGGGCGGCCCCGTGGCGGGGCGCCCCCTGCAGGATGATCTGCACGTCCAGCTGCGCAAAAAACCAGTATAAACCAGTATAGACCAGTACGGACCAGTATGAGATAACACGGACCAGTATGGAGTAACATTGACCAGTATGGCCCAGTATGGACATGGGCGCCCCCTGCAGGATGATCTGCACGTCCAGCTGGGGGGGAAACCAGTATAAACCAGTATAGACCAGTATAGACCAGTATAAACCAGTACGGGGTAACCAGTATAAACCAGTATGGACCAGTGCAGGGTACTGCAGGTACGCCCCCAGGGGGCGGCCCCCGTGCCGCGGCGCCCCCTGCAGGATGATCTGCACGTCCAGCTGCGCAAAAAACCAGTATAAACCAGTATAGACCAGTATAAACCAGTACGGACCAGTACGGGGTAACCAGTATGGACCAGTGCAGGGTACTGCAGGTACGCCCCCAGGGGGCGGCCCGTGCGGGCGCCCGCAGGATGTGCACGCCAGCTGCGCAGACCAGTAACCGTATGCCGCAGGATGATCTGCACGTCCAGCTGCACAGAAAACCAGTAAAAACCAGTATGGACCAGTATGAACCAGTATAGACCAGTATGGACCAGTATGGGGTAACATGGACTGGTATAGAGGGACATGGCCCAGTATGGACAGGGGCGCCCCCTGCAGGATGATCTGCACGTCCAGCTGGGGGGGAAACCAGTAAAAACCAGTATGGACCAGTATAAACCAGTACGGACCAGTATGAGATAACACGGACCAGTATGGAGTAACATTGACCAGTATGGCCCAGTATGGACAGGGGCGCCCCCTGCAGGATGATCTGCACGTCCAGCTGCGCAGAAAACCAGTATAAACCAGTATAAACCATTATGGACCAGTACCTGACCAGTATGGGTAACCAGTATGCACCAGTGCCCAGGGTCACTGCAGGTACGCCTCCCAGGGGCGGCCCCCGTGACGGAGCGCCCCCTGCAGGATGATCTGCACGTCCAGCTGCGCCGAAACCAGTACAAACCAGTATAAACCAGTACAAACCAGTACAAACCAGTATGGGGTAACCAATGGACCAGTGCAGGAGTGCATGGCCCAGGTACGCACCAGGGGCGCCCCTGCAGGATGATCTGCACGTCCAGCTGCGCAGAAAACCAGTATAAACCAGTATAGACCAGTATAGAGACGCAGTATGGACCAGTACGGACCAGTATGGGGTAACATGGACTGGTATGGAGTGACATGGCCCAGTATGGACAGGGGCGCCCCCTGCAGGATGATCTGCACGTCCAGCTGGGGGGGAAACCAGTATAAACCAGTATAGACCAGTATAAACCAGTACGGACCAGTATGAGATAACACGGACCAGTATGGAGTAACATTGACCAGTATGGCCCAGTATGGACATGGGCGCCCCCTGCAGGATGATCTGCACGTCCAGCTGGGGGGGAAACCAGTATAAACCAGTATAGACCAGTATAAACCAGTATAAACCAGTATAAACCAGTATAGACCAGTACGGACCAGTGCAGGGTACTGCAGGTACGCCCCCAGGGGGCGGCCCCCGTGACGGGGCGCCCCCTGCAGGATGATCTGCACGTCCAGCTGCGCAAAAAACCAGTATAAACCAGTAAAAACCAGTAAAAACCAGTATAAACCAGTATGGGGTAACCAGTATGGACCAGTGCAGGGTACTGCAGGTACGCCCCCAGGGGCCGGCCCCCGTGACGGGGCGCCCCCTGCAGGATGATCTGCACGTCCAGCTGGGCAAAAAACCAGTATAAACCAGTATGGACCAGTATGAACCAGTATAGACCAGTATGGACCAGTATGGGGTAACATGGACTGGTATAGAGGGACATGGCCCAGTATGGACAGGGGCGCCCCCTGCAGGATGATCTGCACGTCCAGCTGGGGGGGAAACCAGTAAAAACCAGTATAGACCAGTATAAACCAGTACGGACCAGTATGAGATAACACGGACCAGTATGGAGTAACATTGACCAGTATGGCCCAGTATGGACAGGGGCGCCCCCTGCAGGATGATCTGCACGTCCAGCTGGGCGGAAAACCAGTATAAACCAGTATAAACCAGTATGGACCAGTACCTTCCCAGTATAAACCAGTGCCCTCCCAGTGCCCCCAGATCACCTCTGAAGCCCTCCCAGTGCCTCCCAGTTGCTCCCAGTGCCCTCCCAGTCCCTCTAAAACCACCCCAAACCCAAACCAGTCCAAACCAGTATAAACCAGTATAAACCAGTCTAACCCAGTGTACCTTGAGCAGCTGTCCCAGGAGGCGCTGGTGGCCCCTGCCCAGCACTGGGAAGCCCTTCTGACCCCCCCAGTCCATCCCAGTGCCCTCCCAGTCCAAACCAGTGTCCCCGCTCCAAACCAGTATAAACCAGTATAAACCAGTATAAACCAGTCTAACCCAGTGTACCTTGAGCAGCTGTCCCAGGAGGCGCTGGTGGCCCCTGCCCAGCACTGGGAAGCCCCTTCTGACCCCCCCAGTCCATCCCAGTGCCCTCCCAGTCCAAACCAGTGTCCCACATTCCAAACCAGTATAAACCAGTCCAAACCAGTCCAAACCAGTATAACCAGTCTAACCCAGTGTACCTTGAGCAGCTGTCCCAGGAGGCGCTGGTGGCCCCTGCCCAGCACTGGGAAGCCCCTTCTGACCCCCCCAGTCCATCCCAGTGCCCCCCCAGTACATACCAACCCAAACCAGTACAAACCAGTCCAAACCAGTATAAACCAGTATAAACCAGTCTAACCCAGTGTACCTTGAGCAGCTGTCCCAGGAGGCGCTGGTGGCCCCTGCCCAGCACTTGGAAGCCCCTTCTGACCCCCCCAGTCCATCCCAGTGCCCTCCCAGTACATACCAACCCAAACCAGTATAAACCAGTATAAACCAGTCCAAACCAGTCTAACCCAGTGTACCTTGAGCAGCTGTCCCAGGAGGCGCTGGTGGCCCCTGCCCAGCACTGGGAAGCCCCTTCTGACCCCCCAGTCCATCCCAGT